ACACACACACACACACACACACACACACACACACACACACACACACACACACACACACACACACACACTTTACCGTAAGGCCAAAAAGCTCACCCAACGCTGCTCTTTGTCATGTCTACTTTTTAACAAAATAACAAAGGATATCTGTCTTAGCGAGTCATTTCTTTTAAAAATGTGTCAAGTTTTTCCACCCAGCACAGGGATTATACTATATTTAAAAATAAATTGTGTGTGCATAAGCACCGTCTTGTGGCCACAAGATAATAACACGTGGTCACAAGATAATGAATGCAGTCATTTCAATGCAAAGACTGTTGATTGTTAACATTGACAAGTTTGAATTAATTTTATTTTAATACAGGAATGAATTACAATTACATATTTCAGTCACATACAGTTAGGCATGGAGTAAGAATAGACACTTCAGCTGCTAAAAGATATATTGTGACCACACATTATATCTCAGTCACACATTATCTTGTGCCCATGCATTATATATCTCATGCCCACACAGTATGTATATTGTGCCCATGCATTAACTATTTTGTGGCCATGCATAATTATCTCATGGTCCAAAGATATCTTGTGCAAATGCATTAACTATCTCGTGACCAAACGTTATTATATTGTGGGCATGCATTAATTATCTCATGCCCATGTATTAATTATCTCATGGTCAAACGTATTATCTTGTGACCACACATTAACTATCTCATGGCCAAATGTAATCTTGTGGCCACATATTAATTATCTTGTGGCCAAATATTAATTATCTTGTGGCTACAAATTAATTATCTCATGGTCAAATGTTATCTCGTGGCCACACTTTACCTTGTGCCCATGCATTAACATATTACCATTAAGATATTTTGTTGTATTTATCTAAGTTTATTATACCATCAGTGCATACCTGGTCGAATCTAGAAATCTCTAACATGAAGCATTAGGCAGATCTTAAATCTGTTTCATTATTTATTTGTTTTGGGTTTTTTTTCGGTCAGGACAAAACCACTCCATAAATTCATATAAATTCAAATGTATTTCTATCCATATCATTTGGTCTAACAAAAATTTTTAGAGAACAATTTGATGAAATCAGGAATACCAGAATAATTCTTTTTATAAACATCGCCCTTTAACTGTATGACACCGAATTGGCTCTCGCTCAGTCTTAATGTGGTGATTCTGCAAAGTTCACTGAATTAAATGTAACATTTACTAAGCCCTCATAGGGTAAGTACCTGCTTCACAATTATGCTACTCAAACTACAAAGACAAGGCAAGGCAAAGATAAATTTTAATAATTTTTTTAACCTTCCTCAGATGTATCTGACATGCTGTGCGCTAAAATTGCTTCATTGACTTCAATTGAACCCAGTTTTTTCTTTTTTTATGCACATGTGTGTCAGAAACCAGTGTGACTCCAAATCAACACAACTACTGACCGAATGCAGCAAATATTGACTACATTCTCTAAATCTCTTTCTATACAGAGCTGATTGTGACCCTAAAATGACTTAATTTTGAAGGGAACACTTTGAATTAAAAGTCAGGACGTGACATTTGAAATTTTACAGCTTTGGCAGGGTTTTTTTGTGTGAAATCTCACCTTGTTGTAAGTGACAAAGTGCTTTTCACTGACACAGAAAACCACATGGAATAATGTATTAACCTTTATTTAACCGGGCAAATCCCATTGAAATCACAGGTCTGTTTTGTAAGAGGCCTGAAGGCAATCAGACATGCTTGTTTTTGTTCTGCGGAAAGACACAGGAGTACCTGAAGAAAATCCCATATGTGTCATGTTTTAGTAAAAGAATGAACCCAGGTCTGGATGGAGGATGAAGTTTTTAAGAAAAAAATGGTTTATTAAATAACAAAAGAGATGGCAGGGCAGCTAAAATAAAACTAAAACACAGAGGGACATGGAGGACAACAAGACAGAGGGATAAATGCATATAATGAACCAGCGAGGAATGAACCAAAGAGAAGAGTATTTATACAGACAGAGGAAGAGAGAAAATGAACAACAGCTGAGGGGAACAACTGACAGGTGTGTGATGACTGAGAAGGGAAACACATTTGGGGCGGCACGGTGGCTCAGTTGGTAGAGCTGATGCCTCTCAGCAAGAAGGTCACCGGTTCAAATCCCGGTCCGGGGACCTTTCTGGGTAGAGTTTGCATGTTCTCTCCGTGCATGCGTGGGTTCTCTCCGGGCACTCCGGCTTCCTCCCACAGACCAAAAACATGACTGTTAGGTTAATTGATAACTCTAAATTGTCCCTAGGTGTGAGTGAGAGAGTGAATGGTTGTTTGTCTCGTTTGTCTCTATGTGTGGCCCTGTGATGGACTTGCGACCTGTCCAGGGTGTACCCTGCCCCTTGCACTGTGACTGCTGGATATGGGCACCAGTGACCCACGCAACCCTGAAAAGGAAGAAGCGTGTACAGAAAATGGATGGATGGAAATGCATTTGAACAGCAGAGATGAATTTGTAATAACCATGAGAGAACACAAGAGGGAGGTAGAACATAGAACAACAAAAACACACATCCTCACAGTGCAACCCCCCACCCCTCAACAGATCGTCACTTGACGATTAATGGAAAAAACATGGGTGGGAGGTGGGGAGTACGTGACACAAAGACAGGACGGAGGGCACAAGATAAAAAACAACGAAGGAACACAAAAACAAAAAGACACAGAAAACGAAACCACAAGCTGACAGGGAACCCCTGAGAAAATAACAACAACAACAAAAAGTCACTAGATGGCCCCAGGCACATCTGAAGGAGTGCAGAAAGTTCAGGTGGGGGCCCAGAAACCCAGCACAGATGAGGAAGAGGTTCTGGTGGGCGACCGTGGACTCGACCACAGCGGAGGCGGAGCTCTGGTGGGCGACCGTGGGTCCGACTGCATCGGAGGCGGAGCTCTGGTAGGCAGCCTGGAGCCTGGCCACGACAAGGATAGGGCTCAGGAAACTCTAGAGGAGCCGGCAGAGGAGACTCTGGAGGTGCTGGCTCAGGAGACTTTGTAACTGCAGCTGGCGAAGAGAGCTCAGGTCGGATGGAGACCTCAGGTGCAGATGACTTGGAGACCACAGCTGCAGACAACTTGGATCTCAGCTGCAGGCGGCGAGGTCTCAGCTGTAGCAGAGACCTGAGTGGACTCAGGAGCAGAAACCAGTGTGGAGACCTTAAGAGTCTCAAGCAGACCCAGGGACTTCACAATCTGACCTGGGGGCTTTGTAGGCTCAGGTGCTGGCTCTGGCTCCGTGAGCTCTGGTGTTCGCTCCGGCTCTGAGGATTCTGGAACTGCAGCAGGTGTGAACAACAGCTCCACCAGAGCTGCAGTCAAAAACACTGCCACAGCAGCTAGGGTGGTGACCACCACTTCCTCCCTCCTAAGACCCTCCACACAGGAAGTAGTGGCATTGACTTTCGCCGGAGCGTAGGAGGCTGTGGAGGCGTTGACCCTCTGGGGAGCACAGATGGAGGTGGAGGCATTGATCCTCTCAGAGGTGCTGGGAGCACAGGAGGTGGAGTGACCAGGTGACCCGTCGGAGCGGGGACCTGGTGGCTCGACGGAGCGGGGACCTGGTGGCTCGACGGAGTGGGGACCTGGTGGCTCGACGGAGTGGGGACCTGGTGGCTCGACGGAGCTGGACCCAGAGGACTTTGCGAAGCAGGAACCAGATTGCTTGGCGGAGCTGGTGCCAGAGGACTCGCTGGAGCTGGATTCTGTCGGTTCAGAGGGTTCACAGCGGGAAGGTGCAGGAGATGTGTCAGAGGTGGTGAGTACGTCTGTTTTCATCTGTTTTATTTCTTTGAAGAGAATCTTGTATTCAGAAATATGAAATAGTCCATGGTGTGAGGTGAGGAGATTTTCTTGATGGTGTAAGTAGTGAACCTGTATCTGGAATTGGTGTTATTGGCAGCGGAGAAAAGTTACTTGGTTAACTGGGCATTCAACTGGGACAGTTCAGACGGGGAAAGATGGGTGTTGGCAAGCTGTTCCAAGTTGAGGTCAGATGATTCCAGAGCCGGTGTGGGGATGAGACGAGCAGGACCGTGGATGACAGGTGTGCAGCAAGGAGAGGGACTAAAGTGGGTGTGAGTAGAAAAACCAGCTTGGTTCAGGTTGAGACAAGGCGATTCTCTGGCCATTCTCTCTTCCTCCTCTACTAGGAGTGGTGATGGAAGGATCTCCTTATCAGGCTCCTGGCCCCTCCATCTTCGTCTCCTGGCACAGCTGGAAACCGTTTTTCTTTCTCTTTTACTGAGGTCCAAAAAACTTTTCCTCCCGGTGAGTTATTTTTCTGGCTGATTCATTCTGTCATGTTTTAGCGAAGGAATGAACCCAAGTCCGGACGGAGGATGAAGTTTTTAAGAAAAAAGGATTTATTAAATAGCAAAACAAAAGAGATGTCAGGGC